CTGCCCAGGCGGGTCTCGAACCCGCGGGCTCAGGCAATCCACTCACCTCAGCCTCCCAAAGGCGCAGGATTACAGACTGAGCCACTGAGCCTGGCTTCCTGGCTAATTTTTAAAAAATTTATTGTAGAGATGAGGTCTGGCCAAGTTGCCCAGGCTGGTCTCAAACCTGTGGGTTCAGGCAATCCTCTTACCTCAGCCTCCCAAAGTGCTGGGATTATAGGCGTGAATCACCACACCCGACCCTGAAGTTATTTTTATAATTTATTTTTTGAGGCAGGGTCTCACGCTGTTACCCAGGCTGCAGTGCAGTGGTGCAGTCATGGCTCATTGTAGCCTTGATCTCCTGGACTCAAGTAGTCCTCCCATCTCGGCCTCCCTAGCTGGGACTACAGGCATGTGCTACCATGCTCAGCTAATTTTTGTATTTTTCTGTAGAGATGAGGTTTCACTATGTTGCCTAGGCTGGTTTTGAACTCCTGAACTCAAGTAATCTTCCTACCTCGGCCTCACAAAGTGCTGGGATTACAGGTGGCCTGAAGTTATTTTATTTTATTTATTTTTTGAAAAAGCAGAATTTATTGAGAGGACAGAAAAGATCCCAAGAGTGAGAGGGGACCTGAGGGAGTTGCCTGGCTTAAAGTTATTTTGAAAAGAGAAGCTGGCTCAGCCTGTAATCCCAGCACTTTGGGAGGCCGAGGCAAGTGGATTGCCTGACCTCATTGGTTCGGGACCAGCCCAAGCAACTTGGAGAGACCTTGTCTCTACATAAAATAAAATAAAAAATTAACTGGGCATGGTAGCGTACGCCTATAGTTCCAGCTACTTGGAAGACTGAGGCGGAAGGATCACCGGAGCCCAGCAGGTCGACCCTGGGGTGACCGTGAGTGTGCCACTGCACTCCAGCCTGGGCAACAGAGTGAGACTCCAACTCAAAAGAAAAAAATAGTGGGGGCGGGGGCAGGGAAGAGGATCTAAAAAATTTTTTGATTGAAGCAATATTCTTAAAATACTTACAATTTCCTTAGATGTTCCCTTTGAAGGACACTATTCATTTGACACAGAGATCCTCCCTAGACG